AGGTGGGATAGAGTAAGCCGGCTAGTATCGTAGAAATAAGTCGATCGTTTGGTAATGCATCAAGGAAGAATTCAATTTCGCATCGAATTCAAACCCTGAAGGTCATGGTAGCAAACCAACAGCGATCTTACTGTCACTTCTTATAAGTCTAGAATACTTGAAATTGTCTGTATGGGCAGTTGGACTGTGTACTCTGTGTGTTGATCATAGAGGTTTTCTTTCTTTCCTCTCACCTAAAAATGGGTCGAAACCCTATTCTCCTTATATATTCTCACTTACCTTGCATGCATTACGAGTTGTGCAGCGGCCTTTGAAGTTCGCTTCACTGTACTACGTCAGACGAAGATGATGATTCCTCGCGCAGAAGAAAGTTGCCGATCAACATTAAGTCAACCGTGGGTCGAGTACTTTAGCTACCTCAGTTGAGTACCCCATGGAGCACCCGATACAGAGTTATCATCGTTTGTGATATCATAGATAACTGTAATTCATTCTTATCACCACTTGTCTCATTCATCAAACCACAAGGGTCGCACAGGATTGATCAATGATGCAACAAGGATGAATACCAATGCGACGAAGCTGAGTAAAAATGGAAAAGTTGTAATCGATAAGTTGTTGCCATTGGCATTGCAGATATAATGTAGTTATCAACCCAGAAATAACTGTGAAAAAGGTCGTTGCTGGTAACTAGCAAATGAGTTCGAATGTTATCTGTCTATTCAGGCGAAATATGGTTATTCCTTTCGTTGTATCCTACTACTGTTGCTACGTGTCTTCTTAAGTGTGCCTTTGAATGGAAACTACAGTCTCAATTGAATTTACTCACTCATGTAGTGATTCACTCCAAGGTTCTCACCTAACCGATCTATCGATCCATCTTGACGTGATTCGCTTCCTTATACTGCCGACCGAGGTCAATTACCAACGGGTTCGTTCATGCTCGTCTAAGGCCCAGTCAATCAAGAGTCAATGGCATAACCTTTCCTGATTTGGGGACGAACAATCAAACTTTCAATCTGGCTGAATAAAGTAATAAAAAGTATTTTTGAATGACCATAGAGAAATCAGTTCATTCCGACTGGACGGGGTTTTAATAGACCCGATCCAATCGATAATGTGTGACGACTGAAGCACTTATTGGGGTGATTGTTGCTATGATTTGTCACAGTCTGGCGTTTGGCGTGTGATCTATATATATATATATATATATATATATATAGTTTTCAGCTAGATTAGTTTGCTTTTCAGGTAACTGGCTTATTTCACGAAATGTTTTCTGTTCAGTTTTCTGTTTCCCGAATTTTGTCAAAAGTTGAACTTATCTCGTACTTACACTTTATACCAGACAGGTTTCATCGGTATTGTGTTTTGTTCCCCTCTCTCTAGGTCAAAGTCCCACGTCAATCATTGGTAAACCTAGACAATGTGAATGTGACCAATCATTCCGATCCGGGCTCAATGAGCGTTTTGCCGCGTTTATTACGCACCATGACCAACGGCAGCTGTCGTGATTCTTCTGGAGGTTCAGTAAATAATAATACAGGGAACAGTGTTTCCCTGGTCAGCAGTCTAGCAACCAGTTCACCTGCTACCTCAACTGGAGTTGAAAACGGAACACTGACTGCTGCAGCGGCTGTGGTCGCTCCAGGAAATCCA